AAAATCAAAGAAGAAGATTCTCATTTCCTTTTCTAAATGAAAAAATGTCCATTTCATGAGGGAAAGGTCAGCTGTTCAACAGAGTGCTGGGGCACTTTAAAGAACTTGAAATCTGCACCTGGACTTCCTCACATCCTCAATATTCCCCTCCTTCAGCACAGCTGGGAATCCCTGTTTAAAACCACGTTTCTTGTTCTTTGTGCCTTCATTACGCTGCTGGTTGCATCACTTTTTCTTAAAATTTATTCCTCCTGTAATATTTGCTGGATTGCATACAATAAATACTGCCCAATGTCAGCTAGACAGCTATAAATGTGTTAAATATATACTGTGACAAGTCTAATAAATAGCCATCCATTCACATTACAAATAAGCCCAATTTCAGTCCAATGAATATTGCAATGAACTTGTTCTTCCTGGGACATCAGTATAAATATCAGTAATAAGATAGATCAGAAAGGCTAACCATGCCAAGTAGATTTTATTTTTGTAAAGAGACTATAAGAACTACTTCATTCCCCTTTGTAGAAAAAAGAAACCCATAAAAAACCAGCGAGGAATCTAGGACAAGGAAAGGGAGAGGTTACTGAACAAACTGCAGTTTATTTAGATGAGAAAAATGAAGTATGCAAAGCAAGACATGTTTAACTAAGTGTCTACAGATGTTGCTCAATTTCTGTATGCACTGAAAGAGAAATCACTTTGTTTACTTGTCTGGCTCTTGTTCCTAACGCCATTACCAGTAGCTGAAAACATCTACTGAACACAGGTATTTTATTTTACTTTTTTCACCTGTGGAGGTGATGGGGTGGGGATTGCAACCAATGGTTTCTGCCAAAACTGCTGGAAAATATTCCAAGCATTTGGCTGACTGTTCAGCAGCCTTATCAATACCTGCTGCATCAGCTTTTCTTCACCTGCCATCCGCTATTTGAGATGCTTTGACAGACACTACGAGCACCTCACAGTCCCATCAGGAAAGGCAGGCTATCTGTGCTTCTCACACCCAAAATACTGTTCACTCACTGTCAGTTGCAATGCCAGTACATGCCACGGTTCTGTGTTTATTCCAGTCTGCTTAGTTTAATACCACTGTCCCTCTTTGGACACCCCTGAGCCCTGGGATCAGGAGATAACATTACTGATTACTGATTTCCCCTCAATGTCAGTTGATCCATAGAAGAAATACAAGAACTCTACTGTTGCACAGGGCCAAACTAATGGGTCACATAGTCCATCCACACTGGCTTCTAACTGCTCAGATCTTTTAAGGACTGTAGAGTCAAATTAAATGAGGAAAAATAAGGAATGTTTGCCACATTCCTCTTCACTCATCAATAGTGTACACTGAAGGTACTAAAGGTTGTCTATAGGAACTGAAGCTGTGGGAGGAGCACCAGTGATGTGTAAACAGCTATTTTCCAGAAGTCTATAGACTGTGGAAGTAGAATAAACCATACATGCTTATGCAGAGAGCTTGGTTACCTTGTCTTCTGTTCCTTGGGACAGTACTGTCTGGTGAGTTTGAAGTCTTCATCAGTTGTGTCGTTTGACAAAATCTTTCTGGAAGTCGACGTATCTACAAGAGAAGAGGTCAAAGCTGTTTGCAATATTTGCTCCTTTCTTCCCTCTGCAGTCATCCACACAACATTCCTACACAAAGGACTGCAATTTTTGCTTTCATTTGAGAGCATTTCCATTTTTCTGAGTGTCTGGGCACGGTGTGGTGCACTCAGAACTCATGGAGCACTGTAGGTTTCTCAACAAAGCATGGAGCTGGCAGATTTTAAGCAGAGGGTCAAGTGGGGAAGGAAAAGCCTTTTTCTATTGATTGCTTTAGAGTAGCATCTTGTTAAATGTGGGGTATAGACACAGGGAAGCATGAGCTTCAATTAATAGGTCAGAGCCTGTGTGCATCTAATTATAAACCCATCTGGCCCTAGCCTAAGCATATTAATCTTAGTCCCAAAATACAAATCTGCCTGCAGAGACGCAAAGGAACAACAGCCCATGCAGTGACTTGCCAGCCTCAGACTGTCCACGTTGTTCTCTCTGCTATCAGAGTTTATTTTTTGGACATTTAGACTCCAGAGGCTGCCTGCTGCAGAGCAGGAAAGCAGCATGGAAGATATGCTGATTTGTGACAAATCAATGCAAGGACAAGGGGAACCTTTCCAGAGATTTCACTGTCTGTCTGTCTCCACACGACGTGCTGCAAAGGTTAATTTGTTTTGAAATCCTCATTTTTTATTTGCGTTACTGATCAACTTAGCAATTATAAATGTTAATATATTCTTCAGTGGCCTTAACTTCAGATATTGAGACTGTTGCACTAAATAAGGATTCCGCAGCTTGCCTTGATTCATTAAGACTGGAGTTATTCTGAAAACTCATTGAGTTACAGCACTGAAAGAAGCATGTTTTCAAGGTGCATCCTTAATTATCTTTAAAGCAAGACAGACCCATTTATAACTCTGTGGTTTAAATCAATTTAGTTAACTATCGTTTAAATCAGAACCAAGAAAACCCAATTCAGGTAACTTGGTCTGTATTGCATTTGTGCCTTCTAACAGATATTCATAAGAAAGTGTTACTTTGAAGGACTAAAAATGAATGGAAATGTTTAATTACAAAAAAAAAAAAGGTAGCTCTTTTGGAGTGATTAATTGCTTTTGTTCACTGAGTGAGCACACTGTAGCTGTGTGTACATCACCACACACATCAGCATTTATTTTGTCCTGATTTTTACATCTGACTGGTGAAAAAAAAAAAGTATGTGACAGTTTTAATCATTCAATTACCTTTTTAAAGTGCTCTGCGTCACACTGCTCCTAAACAAAAACATGCAGAAGAATGTAATCATTTAATTGTGTCCTGAATATTTTAGAAAATATTACCAAAACATTCACTGCATGTCAAGGTAGCTCTGCTGTACCTAACATTAGAAATATGATTGGTAATTAATGACCTGAGCTTTTTTTTTCCTTGCTTCCACGTTTTCTGAGGTCAGAATTTGTTGATCTCAGACTCCCACACACACCTCTTACTCATAGGATAGGAGAGGGTAAACTGATTTTCCTCTTGTTTCAACTCCCAGCTGTTTTCACAACTTGGAAGATTCCAACTGATGGAAAGTGGATAAAAGAAAAAGATGTGCCTTTTGCACCTGCAAAAGAGGCTACAGCTGTCAAGAGCTGCTTATTACTCATGGAGCTCCTATTCCAGGTGCCTAGCTAGTCATTTCTCCAGATTAGTCATTAGACATTCTTCACAAATTCAGCAGTGACTGTATACTCTCAACTGTTTTTTTTCGTGCAAGATACGTTAATGTGAAAACAGGATTTTTTTTTTAAGGCATTTGCATTGAATTTAGGCTATCATCATTCCAGAAAGCATACCTTCAAGTTTAACTTTAGGAAATTTATTAATTTAGAAATTAGAAGATGAAATTATGCACGTTGTGAAAATCCACAGAGCTCATCACAGAGCAACTGACAGATGGACAGAAACCTGAATGGATTCACATCTGCTTCAGAGGGGAACCCAGCAGAAATACTCTGTGTTGCAACTGAGACTCTGTACAACCTCAGGCTACCTGGAAATGACATCTTAAATGTGCAGGGTGGACAAAAGTAATCAGTAAATATCTCAGTTCTGTATTTGGAGGGATGCAAGATAAGACACAAGACCAATGAAATCATTGTGAAGCTGGGACAGATGCTACAAGAGTTATGTCTGCTGAAGTCATCACAATTGTAAGGCTTGCATAGGAGGATCATAGCAGAATTTAGCAAAGGAGGTTTGGCACAAGTGTAATTATTAATGTTTTAGAAAGCACAGGAAATTCCAGCAATCACTGAATCAACCTTTCTGAAAGATGTGCATTAGTCAAATACAAACCGTTAAGTAAATGCATGGAAAAAGTAATGTCCTGGAAGAAATAAACTAGTGATATATACCACATCAGACTAAACAAGCTAGCTGTTCTTTCTTGGCCTTGTACTACCTTTTAAAATTGCTGGAAAGTAATCACAAAGAAAAGCCTAAAAAAATACAGAGGAAAACATGTTTTTTTTTCCCTACCTCTTACATCTTCTACTATGCACCAAATAAATGCATAGCAGCCTAGAGCCTGACGAACCATCTTGCTTTAATCCCTTCCTGTTGACAGTGAAAAATGTTATACAAGTGTTCTACAAAAGATATACGATATCTGTTCATCAGGAAATCACCTCCCTGTGCAAAGATTCCTCATTGTAGCATGCTAAGGAAGCCAGGCAGGGATGCCTGGAGAGCTGTCATGCAGTGGGGCAGATACTTGATTTGGGAACAAACTGGCATGCACTGAAACAGCTAATGCTAAATGACAATGAATATGTGCATCTCACCCCAATCAGAACCAACGCTCAGATTGGTTCTCCTGACAGCTGCACTGTTAAGAAATCAGCTAGGTAGTAAAACTAATCGAGATACCTATGCCATCTGGATACTTGCTCTCCTGCATGGGGAAGGAATATGAATAGGAGAAAAACTAGCTGACAGCAGGAAAATTGAGAAGCAGTAAATCATGCAGAACTTGCCCAGAAATAACCAGATTCCTTTATTTCTTCCTGGATTGGATCCATTCTGACCAGATAGGCTCCTCCTCAGCACAATACAGAGCTTTGCAAGTTGATGTAATGAAGTGATGGGTCAAGCTGCTGCTATCGCATCTGGGATTTATGAGGAGACTTCATCAGCTGAAATCAGGGAATGGAGGGGGCAGAGACATCCTGGTTCTGCTATGCAGACAAGTCTGTAAGACAGATTTAAATGGGTAGGATGAAATCAGTCTTATTAAGGTGTTCTGTGTAGATGTAGCTGCACTTACCCCAGAGATACCACCGTTCATCAAGAAAGGATCTGACCAGTTAGGCATTCATCCACGAAGCAGGAACATCTGTTAGCAAAAGCAGGCACACCTCCTACAGGTAATGCAGCATATTTCCTCTCTTTCCTTAAAAAGAAAATGTTCAGTGCAGACACGAAAGCTGCCCTCCCTGTTGATCACCTCTTGTCTCTCCCTTTGGCATGTTATGTGCAATATTCATGCAGTAACAGATGCACACAGTGAGTAAAACACTCAGAGATGTTTGTCAAAGATTTCCTAAGGCTTTTCATGTCCTTGCTTTCCTGTGAGGTGCCCAAACATAAGTCATCTCTGTTGGCTTTTAGAGTAGATTAATTCAGAGCACAGCCTCAGAACGGGGAGGGGGGAGAGGGTAATCAGTTAGCTGGGGTGTTGAGGTGGAGCATTTTCCTAAGAAGGACGACTAAAGGGTAGGAAATGCATTTCTGAATTAGCATGTTTTCATCCAGGTAATACAGTTCCCTGTGCAGCTGTACCTCTAATGCAAGCTCATGGGCAATTCTTTTATTGGACATGATCTGAGAAGCCATTGGAGGTGGAGAAAAGATAATCAAAACAGCAGAGTGATTTAGCACTTCTCAAAAGCACAACAGGATATTGAATAAAAGACTCAGGCATCTGGGCCTTGAAATACACTGCACTTTCCTGATGCACAGAGATGGAAGGAGGAAACCTCCCAGTAATGTCACTGCTGCTCACCCCTACCTATTGCAGATGCTACTAGGCAAGGTTTGCACCAAGAGGAGCTGTGAGCCACCAAGTGTCAGGGTTAGGGACAGGAAACTCTGCAGCTCTCCTCAGGCAACCAGCAGTGCAATACAGAACAAAGGGCTTTGCTGGCCCAGCCATACACAAGTTTTGCTATGCAGTGAAGTGGGAAGTGAGCCACATCTGCAGCATCTTGGAGCTCTGATCTAAAGCTAGTAATAGGAGTTTTCTGTAAAGAAAAGGACTCTGCCTTCAATTTTCACTTCATGAGTCCTCAGACCAAATTTATGCCCAAATTACATCACGTAACGTCAGGCCAAGTAGGTTTACAGGTTTTTGAGTTGGGTGAAGGATTAAATTTCACCCATGTGTCTTCAAGTCCCCAAAAGATTTAAGGATACAACAAATTTTCCTTGATCAGTGGCAATATTCACATGAATGAAGTTAGATGGGGATCTGGATTGATCCATCAGGACCTGAGTCCAGAGAAATAAAATGACATAAGTGGAATTATTTATCACAACTATTCTGTTTTCCTGGAAAGGAAAAAGGAAGGGGGGAAGGGTGAAAATGAAGGGAAGGTTGAGTCATAGTTATTGGATTGATAGCACAGCAGAAAACAGGCTAATCCTTGTAATCCATGGGCGCCATCAGAAAAGGACTAAATCAAAGATGTTGTTGTTCATCTTGTATATCTATTAATACAATCCACTGCAATGGTTATTCAATATTTATGCTGTCTGTGTGAATTACTGCATATTTCATTCTCCTTTGAAAACTGAGAGAGTTGAAATAGAGTAGCATTTCTTTTTATCTGACAGAGCTTTAATCTTTCACTCATCATGGTTTTACCTGAACCCTGGTTTAAAAAAAATATATAAAAATACATGCATGAGTTTTTTGCAAGATAAGGAATTCCCAAATTAGAACTCTGTAGTCATCATTCTTAGTCATGATACATCTGCCACTCCTTATAAATAATAGCGATATGAAGATCTGCTTTTTCTCAAAATAAGAGGCAGTGAAAATCCACCACATTGAGCAACATTCAGTAGGGTTCATATTGTAGCCAAAGAAGGCACATTTGACCCTGTGGGAAGTAAGATAATTACTTGAAGCAGTCAGGAAAGACCTCTATTCTACTAATGGGAATAAACAGAACTTGTAGCTCCTCTCAGCAAAACACAAGGATCCAGCCTGGCACTCTAGATATAGAGCAAAATATCCCTGAGAAAAATAAACCAGACTTCTCTACATCCTTAGAATATACCTGGTCCCACACTACACCCCTTCATCATTTGGATCACACTGAGGTTGGTGACACAAAATCTTGGTTCTGTTTGTCAAAGAGGATTCAGCTGAAAGTTAGGCTGGAAGAGAACATTTGCAAACACAGACCTTGAAAGATAATCACCCACCTTATTCTAGATGCCCATCATCTGCAGGGCGTGGGTGGAAGGTTTGCATCTACCATAGCTGAAAAACCTTGCTCCTTTGATATTAGTTCCTGAATGGATTTTGTTGTATGTTTGAGGCTGGCTCCAGGCTGAGGAAGACAAGAGAGACCATGAGAAGTCATCAGGAAGGTCCAGCATGACCCACAACAGAGGTTGCAGAATCAGTCAGCAGGTCACATTTCTCTTATTTCTTATGGGAGGATTCAAATGAAGATCTAATCATGACCTTAAAAATTGGAAACAGAAACAGGAGACAGTGCTGCTGTGTGCTACCTCAAACTATCCTCTGAGGCAAGAAACTGAAAAACCCCATCAAGGAAACATCTCCATAAAACAAAAATAAAGTATAAACAGAAAAATAAAACCAGACGCCCATGTGTACCCAAAGGAACTATTAAAAGCAAAATGTTTGTCAGTATAGGATGCTCCACCGCACACATCTGGTGCTCTCAGCAATACAGAACATTTCTTTAATTGCTACACCTGAGACCGAGAGCAAGAAATAGATCTAGGGGCCGATCTCAATGCATTTTGAGACAGGTGGAGATGAGTAGTGGCACGAGGATTCCATTGTCAATAACCAAGCAGTTATATATTACTGATTTAAACAGATACTTTCAGGATACAGCTGTGTGTCTATAATTCGATGTCTGTTTTTCAGTTCCTTCTGGTGAAAGACTATAGGGATAACAGCAATAAGCCTCTTATTTGGTATATGTTGCTCAGTACTTTTTACACTCCAAGTTGTCAGTACAGCAACGTCCAGTGGAAAAGGGGACTGCGGAGACTCCAGGCTGCTGCTTCCTCTCATGGGGTTGTTGCATCTCATTGAACTTTTCTGTTCCCGATTTCTGTACTCAGACTATAAGGTCTGGCTACACCTATACCTTGCAGAATGGATCCTCACTCTCTCCTGGGCCCTTAAAATATGCCGCAATTTAGCGCTACCCATTCAAATTCATGACTTCTGTGAATGGGGCTTCAGTGCAACAAACAAACGGTGAAGATATTGCGCCCATTGAGACAAAAGGATCCAGACAAAAAGCAACAAAGGAGATAATTACCACTCATCTCACGCATTGTCTAATATTTCTAAAGAGGAAAATGAGCTCCTGCTTCTCTTGTTCAGCATGGTTAAGTGAGTGGTGAGTCTATACAAAGGGAACTTCAGACATTTCTTGACCTCTGATTGCCTCGGATTATTCTCATTCTTTTCAAAATTGGAAGTTTATGTGCTGTATTATGGCACGTTTGAGGTCTGGAAAAGATACCGTGTTCCCAAGCCTCATAGTTCAGCTTGGTACCCAGATATATTCTCAAAGCCAAGCATGTCCTTGGAGCTTATGCATTCTAAGTGCATGATCAAGAGGTGTCCTTAAAACACTCACTACCTTCGAGCAAACTTGAGGCAGCTCAAATAGCCTTTCCCACCTGCTTTGCCCTACTCTGACACAATTTATTAAAAGGAAAACCCCTTGATCTAAAAAGATTGGACATTTAAATTTTTTTTTTTTCTTAAATGATGGAAAGTTTTCCCAGGTAGGATGGCCCATCACTGATTAATCACAGAGCAGCCAGAGCAGAGGGCTGAGCAGTGCGTTCAGCAATCAAAGCCATCAGTCCTGCCTGCTGGGATCAGATTGCAATTTCTGGCAAGTGAGGGAATCAGTTTCCAGATTTCATCTTCTGCAGAGAACAAGTAGAATAGGAGATCAACAGCTCCTTTGGTGAGCACCAGTGGCTCATTCCATCTGCATCTGTGGGATGTCTATCCCTGTGGAATGATGCCCCATGGACCTTAGCACGTTTGTATGGGCAACGTCAAAGAAACGGTACTTTAAAACTGTCAAATCAGGGCGAGCATGAGACTTGCTAAGCATTCCCTTTGATGTTCAGGGGAACTGAATGCATTTTGACTGGCTGATGGGATTTGCAAGGAATACTGCGCTTTTCATTTTGTTTTGAACAAAGCTTGAATTTTCCACCCTGAAAATAACATCAAATATCTTGATATGTGCTCTTGTGCCGATTCAGAAGGAAAAAAAAAAAAACAACCACGCAAACAAACACACAAAAAAACCACCAACCAAATCAACACCAGAGCCAGAAAAAAATACAAAATAACAACAACAAAAAGATCTCCCTCCCCAAAACAGCAGAGAAAAAAAATCATCAACAATAAAAAAAAAACAACCATAAAAGAAACAAACAGAAAAACCCAATAACCTGAAACCCCAGCTGAGCTGGTCCCCATTATTTTCTTGTAATATAGTCATTACAAAGTATTATATTTTCAAGTTATGTTTTACATACTAGTTATGTTTTTGTATACTAAATATGGAGCGTAGATGCTTTACCATTACAGACAAAATTAATAAAGGCTGTATATACACTGATGTTACCAAACAATATCAGAATGAAACATTTCACTTTTCCCCACCATCTAGATTCAGACCACTTCTAGACTATATTTCCTTTCCTCTCTAATGTAAGCTTCCCCTATTCAGAGTTTTGCAACAAGATCAATGACACAGTAATTGTTTCTTTCCTGTTTAGAAATACCCCAAAATAGGATAAAGTTCAATTTCTGACTGCAAATACCTCTCCGTAATTATTGTTGTGTAACTGTCTATCCTAAAGAATGATGTTAAAATTATTTTAGGCGTGTATTTCAGTTTAATTTAAAATAGATTTCTTGAAGCTGAAGAACCTTTGGATTTGCTTTTGGCTTTCTCCTCATTAATGTTTCCCTTGTAATGATGCCATAATGATTCACTATTTGATGTTCTCCAGTTTCAAACTTATTTATTGTAATTGCCCAATTTCTTCTGAGAATGACAGATAAGGAAATATTTCAAGAGGTTTGTAAATAACTGCCAAGGACCACAAGACTGCAGTTATTCTTGATTTATATCTGGTCTGTTTTGCTGTGCTAGCTGAAATAATGTGTTTATATAATTTTTCAGTGCAGTTTGTGTTATTCATCACTCAGCAAACAGTATGAACTATGCATCTTGTTTTAAAACTTCAAGGTATTTTTCAGGTTATCATTACTATGATGTATTGTATTCTTCTAGAAAACCACCATAGGGTACTAAAGTGACTTTAAAACAAAAGAACAGTTCTTAATACAACTTCAGGAAGTCTTGCCAAGAGAAGAAAAGGGTCCCAAGTCCTGCAAGTTGCATTGTTGCTTGGCTTCTCAGTGCAAAAGGAGTCAGAATTCAATCTTCTCTAGAATTCAGCTTTGTAAGAGTTTCTGTCTTATAAAATATATAAATATGCATATTTTGTTATATTTTTATGATATGTATTTACTTTAAATGCACATATACATTACTGCAACCCTTACAAATGCTAAAGGAGAAAATACCTATCCTGAAGGCATGACCTTGCAATATTTTTCTATTCTGCCTGAGAAGGAAATTGGCTAGCTAATAAGTGCAGCTTCCAGCTCCATGCTGCTAACATGATTGATGTTGCAGGAGGTGGTGCTTATGATAATAAGGAAGTTAATGAGAAAAGCCAGGATGGTTCATGTTTCGTAAGAAACAGAATAAAACCAGCATTTCTTAACAGGGAAAAGATAAACACTGAAAAGGAAAGAAAGGTTGCAGTCCAAAAAAAAAACAAAAACACCAAAAACCTAAAAAAAAAAGAGAATGAAAGTATTGTAGCTAGAAATATCAATGAATAGTGCTGTATGTCAAAGCAATAATGCTTTGTTTACATGGTTTATATTAATATTGTTAGTTACTTCCTGAACCAAGACTAGGGATCTGTTGAAGAAAGGATGTTTAAAAATAGAGTGAAAGGACAAAAAAAAAAAAAGGAATGTTCAGGAGTCCAGAATAAATACTGCTGAATTTGGATGGTGCTCTGCAGATCTCTAGCTTGCTCATAGACTAAAACTGCAAACCATACAAAAGGAACCAAAACCAACCATCAACAAAAACCACAACACCAACATAAAACACTACTAAAATTTTTGTCATAGGATCTTGGTAAATCTGGAAGAAATATCATAGAAATGATAAAACTGGGAAATCAAAATTCTGCCCAGCCTGCCTTTATTTCTGTATCTACAGAGCTTTGCTTTGCAGCGATCAACACACACAGACAAGAGGTAGGTAAGGCCTTTCTCTTCCACTACCTTTGTACACAGCTTTGCAGAGGTGAAAAGAAGTGGTGTACACCTTTTCCAACAGAACCCAATGGGAAACAATGTCTCCAGGGTGGTGTCATTCACTCCTCTTTCTCCTGTAGGCAGAGGTATATCATACCTCTTGAAGGACAAGAGGTAATGGCCTTAAGTTGTGCTAGGGGAAGTTCAGATTAGATATTAGGAAGCATTTCATCTCCAAAAGAGGAGTGAGGTATTGGAATGGGTTGCTCAGGGAAGTGATGGAGTCACCATTCCTGGAGATCTTCAAGAAAAGTGTGGATGTTGCACTGAGTTACATGGTATAGAGAAGTACCAGGCATGGGTTGATGGTTGGGCTAGATGATCTTATTGGTCTTTCCAGCCTTCATGGTTCTATGATTCTATACACATTCTTTAGCTGGAGCTGTGGCTAAAATCCACCTTACCATCATAACAGATTTTGTTATGATACACATGACTGTGTGCTATATACGAACCTCACCTTGACTAAATCTGATTGTCAGACAGTGACATTCTTCTTTGTGAGAGAATCTTTGGTTTGGCAGAAGTTCTGTGAAAGATAAAGAACCGCATCCAGAAATAATTCTAATATGGAAGAAAAAAAAAAAAAAAGATGGGTGAGCACATTGAAAGATGTGAATTAGGTGATACTAAAGAGCTCTAGTATAAGTAGGGAGAAGAATAAAGGGAAGGGTTTGTCAACACACATAGGCCTTGAATTGTCCTAAGATAATCCTAGGGGCTGACCTCAGTGCATTCTGAGACAGGTGAACAGCAGCAGCAGATGCAGGTTTGCACAGCAGAGCATCAGGACCTGGCTTTGTCCAGTAACACTTTTTACCACCCTCCTTGAGAAGAGTGTAGAATGAGACTCAAATAACATCAAGAGTTTCTGCTGCACTGTCCAGTGTTTTGGTCCACAAGC